TTTACAGAAGGATTGTTGGAACAATGTAGAGTTTGTTGGGTATAGTAGAATTGTTTGAGATTATAGGTTTATTAAAGAAGTAATGCTTCCTAGAGTGAGTATATTGTAATTATAATTCAAAAGTACAAGTAAGATATGAAGGAACGAAAAAGCATGAACATTTAAATGAATGCTTAGAAATGGAGCAAAAAGAGGATAGGGTTCTTTGCTTAGAATAAATGGTGAGACGAGGGAATGTGTTAGAAGTCTTGGAATTAGATGGAGTAGATTAAGGTGATTGGGTGCATTGCTATCCTCAGATAGTATGGTTTTGAATCTAGTGGGCATTTCGGAAGGGAATTTTTAGTGGAATTCTGTGCTGTAGCAGGAGGAAGAAACATTAGCAGAGAAGTGTTCAAATTTGGTAGGACCAGAGTAAGAGATTTCTCCAGCAAAAGCTTTTTGCGCTGTGGCGAAGAGGGTTCAGGTGAAAAGAAGTCATGTAAGCAAGACAGGATTCTGCAGGCGGAGTTTTGTTTTTGGTTAAGTATAAAACAGGAAAACTCACCCTTACTTTGTGGTGGAGAATAACTAACGTTCTTGGCAAAATGCTGAAGTGATAATAAAAATAGGTTAACACATACAGGGCCTCAGGGTGTCCCATGTATTAGCACATTTAATCTTTCCGACAGCTCTGTGACTTAGGTGCTCTTATTATCCCCGTTTTATGGAAGAGAAGATCCACCCATCAAAAAGTGAAGTAATGCTGAATGTCACGTAGCTAGTGAGATGGCAAAGCTGACCTCTGAATCCAGGTAGCCTGCCTCTAAAATCTGCCCTCGCCATCACTCTTCTGTCTCACTCTACTATACCGTGGTGTCTGATTTCAGTTTCCCTTCTTTCATGCCTCATCACTAACTTATCTGTACCCTTCTTTCCTTACACGGTGCAGCCTTTGTTATTTCCCTGAAGAAGGCAATGCCTTTCCGACCTTTTCCCTACTATTAAAAATCACTCTCTGGAAAGAAGCTAATAAGCCCACTCATTCATTCATACCAAGGAATGAATGACTGATACGGTTTAATGTAAAATAAGACTGTTCTGAGGTTGAGTGTTTTAGGGGTGCAAGGAATGTTAAGAGGCCATACATTCTTAACCCTAAACCCTGATGAAATTTAAAGTACATAAGGGCATGGGAGGATGAGTAAGTCAGGTGCATGACTTCTGCACCCTCCAAATTATACCATTTAGCTGGTCCAGGGTGTATGGGAATCTTCTAGAAGAAATGAGGTGAGAATGGAAAGAATAAGAGATACACCTTTATTATACTTATTCAGTGATTTTAGAAATGCCCTATGATTTCTCTAATTAAGTATCAGGTAGAAGAGTTCTGATATAACCCCAGGAGACACAGACCCCAGGAGAAATCTTTTCTTTGGACAATCGCAGATGAAAAGAGATAATCCCATTCCGAGGTTTAAGTGTTCACGCGTTTACATCTGAATCGAGATAGAGCCAAGGATTGATTTTGTTCCTTTGTTTCCTGCAGAAATAAAACTCAGATGGGTCTATGATTTTTCTGTCCTAGGAATCTTACAACGTGAGAATGTTACCTTAGATTTATCCTCTTTTTCTTATTCCACAGCAGTCAGTCATCAAGCCCTTATTTCTTTTTTAACAAGGTTTCTCATTTATTTCAATCTAGTTCAGTTCAGTGAATACTCATTGAGTGCCTGCTCGATGCTAGATACTGTGCTGAGCATACTATTACTCCTATCTCAAATTTCTCATTTTCTAGGTCAGGATATAGCATGATACAGGCAATCACAGAAATCCATTTAAATACAGAAGCAGTATACAGGAGAGATTTACTTTGCCGGGGAAGGTCAGAAAGACTTACAAAACAGGTGATGCTTGAGTACGGTTTTCAAGGATGGGTAAGAGTTCTTCAGAATAATGGTAGGGGAGCAGAATATTCCAGCTAGAAGGCAAAGCATTACAGAGAGACATGAAAGCATAGCATGGTGTAGCCTGGCAGCTACAAGTAGTATTGCTATAGAACAGATGAAATTTGAGTCAAGGGGTGGTGGAAAATGATCCATTTTTGCTTTTTTCAGTGTCAGGCTCTTGATATGCCTAGAGCACCAACTTGTTTCTTCCCATGTCTGTAATTGTTGAAGGCTTAGTCTTTTTTCTGCACTCTGCGAAAGTCTTACCTATCCTAAACGCTACTCCTTGAGACTAGCCTCTGTATCTTGACACTTCAGTGTCTGATGCACAGTATGTGTCCTCAACCCTCACCTCTCTGTGGTAGGAACTGGTGTCTAAGTGCGGTGGAAGAATGACAGCTTCCACTTGTATCTATGTGGTCATAGAGGTTTCATAATCAGATTTACATATAATGATTTTGAAAGTCCTTTGGCGTTAAGGGACTAATATGAAAACAGTGTTAGTGCTTTGTTAGTCACAATAATATAATTTACTGTGCTACCAAATAATCCAGTTCAGTTCAGCAAGTGTGTTTTTCTGCTCTCTGTCCGTACAGAATATTGAGAAAATACACAATAGAAGAAAACAGGGAGAAGATGCCTCCCTCATGTATCTGAAAGAAAAGACTTTACTTATATTTATATGTAATTTCTGGCTTTCATTAGTTCTCTAAGAGAAAAATCACAAAGAACTGCTTATTCAGTTTCTTCTGCTTGTCATAAAATGTGAAAACATAACCACAAAGGAAGACTACTTGCTAAATGAATATACCACTTTCAGTTGAAGTTACATGGAAAATACCATCAAAGCAAACTGACTTTTATGTTAATTTATTTGTAACTTCTTTTTGCAGGATGCTGGTCAGTTTTATGCCAAATATAAAGAAACAAGATTGAAGGAAAAGGAAGATGCATTGACTAGAGCTGAACTTGAAACACTTCAAAGTGAGTTTTAAATGTTGCCTTACTATATTAACTGTATTATATAAAACTGATTATTTGAATTTGGATTTTTCCCTTAAATTCAGCAGTCATTAAATTTTCTGTGCTTTCTTTGCTACTTTCTAAATAGTTACTGGTACTTAATGTATTATATGTGGACTGTACTGTATTAGTAATTTCTGAAGCACACACAGCTCAATATCAGAAGAGGGGATAAAATTAAAATGGGTCATGTAGTTCCACATAGTTCCTTTAGTCTGGGAGGCACCCAAAGTTGGGAAAGTCCTAAAATACTCCAGTGCAGCAGTCATTATTGGTATTTAGTGTTGAGTCTATCCTGTTGATCACAGCTTGAAATATTATAGTAGTAAACGGGGAACCTGAAAATGTCAACGTTTTTTGTTTTAAAAGTCTTTGTTTCATTTGTATTATTGTTATATAGTATGAAACACCTTGACTAAAGTATCAGTATGTTTGAAGTCTTTCAGTGAATATTAAAGACAGTTCTTGCTGATTTTAGGAAGAGTCGAGCAAACTATTAAGGAAGGCATTTTCCCAACCCTGGTCTTTTTGTCTAATTTTCTATTCCTGCCTCTTTCCCACACAGATATACTCTGTCTCTTTATGTTGCTTTATTTTTATTCAGAACATTTAACACTACTTAGCATTAATTTATAAATTAATTTTGTTAGTTGTCTGGTTCCCCTAATAGAAAGGAAGTTTCTTGAGGGTAGGGACTTTAATTGTTTTGTTCACTGTTATGTCTGTATGAGGACATTAATGAGTCCCTGGCACATAGTAGGTGATCATAGGTAATTGTTGACTGAATTCGTGGAGGTGACGTCTATTCTTTTACGAATTCCAAATGTGAATGTTTTGGGTTCAAATTTCATTCCCCTCCACCTACCCGGATTCCTAGAGAAGTGAATGGTGTGCATGGTGCCAGTCTGGGCACAGAAGACAGTACAAACACCATTTTTACCCAGACATTTTTGCTTAATGCCTATAAACATATATAAATACACAGTTTACAAAATGACTTGTGTGCTTTTGAGGGTGTATGGGAAGAGCTATTCCTGCAGCCCATAGAAATAACTTAGCCAAACCAAGCTGAAAAAGAGCAGCTGTGGTATTAGTGTACCACACAGTCAATTCACACTTTCAGTGTATAGAAAAATGGTGATAGCTGTTTCCCTTCATAAACTGAAAGTCTGGCTTTCTGCTGTTACCCGGACGCCAGATCATGGTTTGAGAAGAGAGAAGAATTAAGTTCTCTCCAACTCAAGCAGTGCATTGCCACTACCTAAATGTGTGACCCTGAGGATTTAGTTTCCTTTTCTGTCAAAAAAACACGTTAGACGAGATGACCCCAGTATTAGTTTTCTAATGTTGCTCTAACAACTGGCCACAAATTCAGTGGCTTAAACACAAATTTATCATCTTACAGTTGTGTGTGAGTCAGAAGTCTGACGTTAGTCTCACTGGGCTAAAATCAAGGTTACCAAGCGGGGCTGCATTCTTGTTCCAGCTTCTGGGGGTCTCCCAGATTCCTTGGATCATGGCCCCCTTCTTCTTTCTTCAGAGCCAGCATTGTTTCATCTCTCAGACTATTCTGTAGTTACATCTCTGTCTGATCATAACTGGGAAAGATTCTCTAATTCTAAGGACTTGTGATTAGATCGGGCCAGTTTAGATAATTCAGGATAATCCATCTCAAGGTGCTCAACCTTAATCACATCTGCAAACACTTTTGCTGTGTAAGGTAAAATATTACCAGGTTCTGAGGATCAGAACATGGTCATGTTTAGGGAGCCATTTTTTTGCCTTCTATAACCTTCAGGTGTCTGGGCAGCTTTAGAACAGGGGCTGTTTCTTTTTCATCTTTGTGTCTGCAACATTGAATATACAGGCACCCAGTAAATGTTTAACAAATGGATGAATATCTAAATATATGAATTAATGTAATACCATGAATCATAGTAAGTGTCATATGAAAACCTATCTTGTACAGCACATAATTTAATTTAAAAAGTTTCAACAATTACAAATACAAAATAGTATTCAGGCAAACTATAATTGTTTAAAGCAGACTTCTGCTTAAGAGAGGAAAGTTTAGGATGTTAGAAGATTACATATTAAGGTCGACTGATGTGTGTGTTGGAGAGTAAGGGTGGACAAATGATTATTACTGTTACATTACACCTAAGACTGAAACAGAAGTTGATGTTACAATAATTGTTGAAATAGTTTTAATTAAATTGAATAAATCAATGAATAAATGAAACTCTAAATGTAGTTTTTATATACTTGTTATTTTTAAGTCAAATTGTTCCATAAAAATTTTCTAAGCCTTTTAAGACTCATCAAAAAGAAGGGGAAAAAATCACCTTCACAAGAAAGGAGAAAGAACAAACCAACCCAAAATTTACCTGTAGAGGCAGAATGAATACACTAATTTTATTGCTTTTACAGTCATGCTTTCACAGCCCTTTTTCAAAATTGTTCAAAGACTTTTGTTCTGCCTGAGAATTTGATAACAATTCTCAAACAGATTTAAATTCTCTTATTTTGTTACTATTGTTTAATAAAAAAAATAGTATGTAAAGAAGCACAAATTTTATAATAGGTAAATATCTGAAAACTCTGTGTGCCAGCAAATGTGTGATAGTCTTCTAAAAAGTTTGAAAATTCATTACTAACTTATTTCTTGAAACTCAAAATGAGGAAAATAAATACCAGAAAATATATTAAAAATAATACTCCTACTAGGTCTCAGTAGTAAGACTTCCGTTGCTCATGTTTTAAGATCAGTGGTGTATTTAGAAAAGGTAATGGTATCAACATTAAGAATGTTAAAGAACAGTCATATTACTGTTAATAACGTCAGAAACTGTCATGTATTTTTAAATGTAGTCTCTAATGGTTACATGCAAAGAATCTTTTAATTAATTTTGTTAACTTCATTACAGTGTTCTACACTGTATACTTTAGAATTAATACATAAAGTCCCCAAATCCCCCAGTGTGCATTTCATTTGCCCCTATCCTTCTTAATTTTAAAGACCATCATTGGAATACTGAGTTCATAATAACATTTCCATCTGCTTAATTGAGTAAATGCATCTCATGCAGATTAGCAATAGCTATTTTATGCTGCCTGTTTTTCATGACCTAATTGCTAATCTGCCCTCAAGTCTATCTGCTTCACCGCTGAGATTCTGCAGTGTCTGCCGAGGGCTGCACTAGAGCTATACTGAGTAGGGTACGGTGATCTTACTAAAATGGTATTTTAGAGGAGGAAATCTAAAAAGGGTGATTTCTTAAAAATAAATATCATTTTTCTGGGAAGTCTTTATGCAAAAAAAATGTAATAATTATTTGGAAATTTTTTGAGCATTTATTTTTTATTATAAACTTTTAATCAGTTTTAGGTTTGAATAGGTTGAATATTTATAAATATAAGATTTTTTCAGTGTTAATATTTTTACACATTCTCTAATTGTGTGAGTTCTAATCTAATTCAATAGATGCAAGTTCTAAGTACTGTAATGAAACAGCCTATATCATGAATGGGAAAAAATGACTTATTTTATAAAGAAATTTATTGTAAAGTTTAAAATTATTTAAAGACAGAAGGAAGGAGGAAGAGTAGAAGGAAAACTTAATTATTTCCCCTTTTTTCTCTGTACCTTATCTGTGTTAAGAACAAAAGCAAAATCAAGCAATCAAAACCCCACCACCAAGTGCTGCCTTTTTACCTGTGGAAATAATCGTTCCAGGCATTAATTATGTTTTCCTTCTTTTGTGGTCCCCACTCCATGCCTCGGTGATGGGCCTAAGTAGGGATGCCAAGGGGACAGTAAGAAGGTGGTGGACATAATATGCCTCTTTAGGGTGACAGGCTGGGGAAACATTCACCTTCCCCAAGGTAGTGGAAGACTGGTTTTCTAGAAGACTCAGGTTCAGGAGGAAAGGAGATGCTAGTGCTGATCTGTAAGTTGATTCAGGGGTTGGTGTGGAAGAGGACAAAGGAGACAAGGTAGATGTAACCACGATGGGTTAGAACAGTTTTCCTTGGGTAACAGGGTGCTCATTGCTGGGCGATTACTCTGAGATAATTGATGAAAAGCATTTGGCAAATCACTGCTCCAGTACATTTGGAAACAAGACCAAATAGAAACTCTGCCTTCACTTAAGAACCATATTGTAAGTAGACATATGTATATAGCAAAACCTAATAGGAGCCCTAGTCCCAAGAGTTTATATGTAGCAAAGAATATCTAAATGGTATTATTTCCTCAGTACTTTGCTCTAGTAACAATGGAATATGAATTTGAAAAATCGTATAGCTCAAATATAAATTTACAGTTCCCTCATTATGTCAAATCATAATGCTATGATGCTTAAATATAATGTTGTCTCAGTTTTCCCACTGAAATGATTCAAAAAAGATTTTATCCAATTTAATATATATAACGTTTATGCCTATAGATTAACTAGTCAAATTTCAACTAAAATTTTACTTACTAATTTGGCAATGAGTACCTACTCAGTGTTACTTAATGAACTTAATGTTACTCTGTTACAGAACGTAATGTGTCAGTTTGTAAGATCCACGAAGTCAGGTACTTTGGTCTCTCTTGTTTACGGCTGTGTAACCCGAGCACCTAGAACAATGCCAGGCATTTGGTAGCCCCTCGGTAAATATTTACTGAGTGAATTAATGCATTTAGAAATACTGTATTGCTCTTTTCTACTTCATAATTCTTAGAGCAGTTTATTAAAACTCTTTAGCAACATTTTTGACAAGAGGATCTTTGTTATCAATAAAACTACTTTTTGAGTGATCAGCACAGCTTACTTAGTTAAGAGTATATCGTTTTTATTTCTATATATAATGAGATACGATCTTTTTTGATTCCATATGATACTGTAAGTGGAAATTTTATCCTAAGCCATAAGTACCTAATATTAGGATTTTTCCCCCTTTTTTCATGATTGCTA